TACTACTGAGCCTCCCCGGCCACATAATTGTGTTTTACTACTGAGCCTCCCCGGCCACATAATTGTGTTTTACTACTGAGCCTCCCCGGCCACATAATTGTGTTTTACTGACACATACACAGAACTATCATACACCTCCATTTCTCTTCACTGTTCAGAAAGTGAGGGGCTCTGGCCTGTTGGACTGCTCATGGTGGGCCATTCCCTTGAGTGAACTGAGCAAGTTCAATTCAGATAGCCAATTCCATTTAAGTTGCGTCTTAAGTGTAAAGTGCCGTGGACTAGAGAACTTAGCATGAAAAAAAAAGAATGTATACTGCCTTAATAATTTTTTGTGTATTTCTTATACTTAATATAAATGATATTTTGTAAATACTCCTTTGTACAAAATAGTTTTAGTAGGGCTGGCTGGGGCTATAGGTAAGTGGTAGAGAGCTTGGGTAGCATACATGAGGCCATAGATTCAATCCCCAGTTCTGGGAGGTTTAAAAACATGTAAATAAACATAATCTTTTATTAACGTCATTTGTAGAGAGTAGTCCTGCTCTGTGAGCTCATGATGTAGTGGTTATTGAGTATGGACTATGTGCCCTTGCTGGGGTACAAAGTGACTATAAGGTAGTGTGTTTGGGACATGTCTCTGCAGCCATTTCTCCTGAAGCAGTATAGAAGTCTTCCCAAGAACTTTCCCTAGGGTGTAAGCTCTTAGAAAGTCTGGTCCCATGGTAGTCTCCAGTCCCCAGCCTATAGAGCATATGTGATTAGCCCCAAATTCTTTGGCTTCACCAGAAAAGTTGGCCTGTAACCCTGCTGATTGTATGGAGGGCGGGCACTCTGAAACCTCAGTGTTTCTTCCATAGCCGCAGCAGCAGATGCTCTTTCAGACTTCTGGGAGGAGCACATGGTCTTGAGTGAGGCGGCAGCAGCAGTTACTGGTGCAGGATGTCTGTGGAGAGGGCCACTTTGCTCATGCTACAGTTAGCATCATTATTGGAAAGATGTCAAGCACAAGGCTCGAACCTTTATCTCCAGGTCGGTTAGGAAGTTAGGGATAATAAAGAAGTTTATGATGGACCCGGTAAGTGATGGCTCACGCCTTTAATTCTAGCACGCTAGAGGCAGGCAGATGTCTGAGTTCAAGGCCAGCCTGGTCTACATAGTTCCAGGATAGTCAGGGTTCCACAGAGAAACCCTATATTGAAACACCAAACAAACAAAAAGAGCTTATGATGGGTCAGACAAAGATTTTAGGGTTGTTTGTTTGTTTGTTTGTTTTGCATTATCCATTGTCGAAGGTAGCCAGATTAAACTGTTTATAGACTTGTGGTGGAGGTCTGTATGGTTTTGTCTCTGAGCTCCGTGAAGACAGATGCTCAGTGCAGCCTCTGCTCTATCCAAGGGGGGAATGTCTGTAGCCCTACAGGTCTCTGCTGTTAGAAGGGCCCCTATGCAAACATGCCAGCGTTAGGAACATGGGCTTCATTTTTATGAATAGTTAATGTTGGATCTGTTAAATGCTTAACTAATTGTATTAGAACAGTTTCATTTAGTTGCAGTTTATTTATTATCTGAGATGATGTCTGTGTGGCCAGGTTGACCTTGACTTATATTCTGTCTCAGCCTCCCAAGTAGCTGGGATACAGGTGTGTGCTACCATGAACGGCTTATCCTCAGTTTTTCATTTACAGGGAAGAAGATTTCTTAGTTTTCTCTTCAGTTGGAATGCAGACTTTATTAAAATGATCCATGAAACCATTAAAAATCAGTTATCTGGATTACAAAGGTAAGTATTGCAGATTTTGGTCTGACTTTGAGAGGTTCTACTACTTATTGTAAAAGGTATGTGTATGTGTAGCCCATCTGGTGTGTCACTCCACAGCAGTCTGACTACCTCAGCTTCCAAGCCACAGCTGTGCGCTGCCACCTGTTTAACACAATGAACACTATAGAAATGACATCTTTTGGTTTGCTGCTGTATCATTAGCTAGTCGTCTTCTACTAATCATTTCTGCAGCCTGAGACTGAGATTTTAACTTGGAGTTTTTAGTTCTCTCTTTATTTCCCGTGGGGTGTAGAGTTTGCTGCCCAGGTTGCTCTGCAGTCCCTGGATTCACGGGCTGCTACTACCTTAGTCTCTGCAGGAGCTGGAACAAAAAGCAGATGGTGGTTCTGTAGTTACATGTATGACAGTTATAGCTTTGTCTCACTTGCGACAAAGCCTGTTCCATTAGTATTCAGGGGACATTTTGAGTATAATTGAGTGTGGGCTGAACTGTGTGGTTGCTGTGAGCAGCCCTGTGATATAAGGAAAAGCCAGAGGTATGAGGTTCTAGCCCTGGTACTTTATTTATCAGTCAGAGCTGACATGCAAAAATTTCGTAGCTATTTTATTTTTGAAGTCATTCTTTACTGCTGAGGTAGCCTACAATTACTAAATAATGTCAGGTATCTATGGAAGTACTGAGTGGGGATTTGATTCTACTATATTCTTTTTTTTATTTTAATTTTTATTAATTATAATTTATTCAGTTTGTATCCCCCCATAAACCCCTCCTCCTCCCTTCCTAATTACACCTTCCCTCCCCCTTCTCCATGCATGCCCTTCCCCAAGTCCACTAATAGGGGAGGTCCCCCTCTCCTTCCTTCTGATCTTAGTCCATCAGATCTCATCAGGAGTGGCTGCATTGTTATCTTCTGCGGCCCGGTAAGGCTGCCCCCCCTTCAGGGGGAGGTGATCAAAGAGCAGGCCAATCAGATTATGTCAGAGGCTCTCACTACATTCTTGTTGCTTTCTCAGATTTCCTTGTTTTTAAAATGCTTATGCTGAACTAGTTTTAATTTCTAAACTTAGATGATTGTAAAGTTGAACCTATGGAAAGTTTTCCTATATGCAAACAATTAGTTTTTAAAGTGTTTGGAATCTTTTCCTTTGTTTTGTTTGTTTATTCGTGGGGTATCACCTGTGCAGTGAGAGGACAGCTTACAGGAGTGAGTTCTCTCTTCCACCAGTTGGGCCTAGGAATTGGCAGGCCATGGACCTGACAGCAAGCGCCGTTACCAGCTAAGGTATCAGAGCGGCCTACATTTAAAGTGTTTGACTTGAACTTAATTCTGGCCCTATGTTGTTAGGGTCAGGGTTTCTGGTGACCTTAACCAAGGAGGAGCCTTTATTCCAGCTCCTGTCTCCAGTTTTGTCACCTTCCTCTTTCCATTTCAGGTAGGTAAGATTGCACTTTCCTCTTCCTGAGGCAGGAGAGTAACTGAAGTGTGGTATATGGTATAGGTGTAATTATTTAAATATGTATCAACATTTTTTTTTAATAGGTCTTTGATGGTACACATTGCAGAAATTTATTTCAGAGCTTGGAAAAAGGCTTCAGGGAAAATGCTGGAGGTATTTTCATTTTATTTAATAACCACTATATTCTAGTTACTTAAGTGTCCAAGGGTAGGCTAATAAACTTACGTGTAGTCTATCTGAAAATAAAGCTAATTAATCTTGCTGATAGAAATGTGACAGGCTGCCTAATTGTGGCCCATGTGTTGAGGCACAACTCCAGGTGTCACCTTGCTGGGATGTGCATTTTCAGAGCATTTAGGGGTTTTGTGTTCCTCATTTTGTCATCCCTGGGCCTAGACTGTCCAGTTACCTCTGGCTGTTGGGCTGTTGTGATGTGGCTAGTCAAAGGGAGATGAGTTGCAAGTTGGATATACTGGTCTGAACAAAATGTAATATGTACCTGTCGGCTGTCTGTTCCTCATTCTACATTCTCAAAGAGTAAAACCTTACTCGTCAATCCAAAAGTATTCTCTCCTGACTTTGCTTTGGAGAACTGTGGTGGCTGGTGCCTGTGGGCAGACTTCCACAGGGCAGGTGGATTGCAGTTGCTGTTGTTCTTGCAGTTTCTGTCCACACTGCCTTCCTGCCTACTTACACTTGCTCTTTATTGCTAGTATTGGCCATTATCTTCCACATCTAGACATCAAGAGTCACTGTATTCCCCTGTGGACAGTTCATAAACTAGTTTAAAAGTGTGTGCTGTTTCTTTTGTCAGAAGGGCAGAACCATGGCATTAGTATGCATTTTTGTTTGCTTTTTTTTTTTTTTTTTTTTTGTCTGTGTAAGGGTCTCTGTGTGGGCTCATTTACATTGACTTTCAGGCCCATGGAGGCAGGAGGCATTGAATCCCCTGGAGCTAGAGTTACAGGAAGTTGTGAGCTGCCTGCCTGACGTGTTCTAGGAATCAAACTTGAGTCCTGGAAGAGCAGTACTTATTCTTAACTACTGAGCCATTTCTCCACTTCCCCCTACCTCCCTTTTGTCTTTTGATTTTAGGTCGGCCTTGAAGTCATGGCTCTCCTGCCTCAGCCCTCTTAAGTGCTTAAATTACAAATTTGTTTTATTACAAATTTGTTTTATTGTGCCTGACTTTTAATATATATATATATATAATCTTTTAAATTCATACAGACGTGTGTGTGTGTGTGTGTGTGTGTGTGTGTGTGTATTAAACATTTAAATATTTTGTATTGTAGGTGTATGTGTGCTGGTCAGAGAGGTCAGAGGACAGTTTTCAGGAGTCACTTCTGCTGCCATGTGGATTTTAGATATTTTAGATATTTAGTCAACTCAGGTTGACTAGCTTGGCAGCCAGTGCCTTTTAATCATATACACAGAGTTGCCCTCATGGCTTTGCTAGTTGCCTCCTCTTTAAGTCTGTGCCATTGATGTGTTGGAGGGACCTGTAGAAGGGAATGTCATATTCTGATAATTCCAGTTCTTTGTGGCATATGTAACTTCTAGGACTGTGGCAGAGCTCCTGTCTCATCATTTGTCAGGTAGCGTGTTACATTCAGAGACTTAGGGCTTTAAGGAATGTACAGTCTCAAGATGACATTGACAGCAATACCTGTCTTCTTCCTAAAAGCCATGCAATCCTGTGCCCTGGTGTAGGGTAACACATAGTCTGTAAGGCATAGCATTTATTTGTCTTACCTTATGGCTCTTTAGCATTGTGGGTTGTTAGGGAGGTTCTCACACATTTCCTCTCCAGCACTTGTCAGAGGTAGCCTCCAAATTTCATTCAAATGTCAAGTTCTGGTCTCCACTGTAGAGGTCATTCCACTGCAATTTTGGGAAGATTCTTGAAACAGGTTTAGGCTTGTGATGCTCATCCAGGCCTCTGTTTGTCCTAGTGCACTTCTTTTTCCAGGGTCTGTGTTTTATCTGATGTGAGCTGGCTTCTAATGATTGTGGGAGCATATCTCACTACATTGTTCAGATTCATTCTTCTTGGATGAACTCGAGGTAGGTAGGTGTGCTCTTTGCTATGGAAACTAAAAAGAGTGAGGGGAATGGATACAGAGCAGCTCTGACACAGTAGTGGAGGCTCTCTGAACCAGTGGAGCAGAATAGGTGCTGGATCAGGAGTCTTGCCTGCCTCACTGCGTGTGGGATGGATGCCTGTCATTGCCCTTATTGTTTCAGGCCATTGAAAATGACTGCATCCAGGACTTCATGTTCCATGGCATCCACCTTCCACGGAAGTCTCCAGTGCACTCCAAAGTACGAGAGGTGAGTAAGGCAGCTGTAATCCACCAACTGTGAGCAGTTGTTGTTGAGGTCCTGTTTTAGCCTTTCTGTTTGTAGGTAATTGTTTTTGCTGCATTTAAAAATTGATAATTTCACCCTATCAGTCAAAAGGAATTTCTTGGAATCTTGACATTTGGTGTCTTGGCAGTTTGTTTCTGTACCAGCTTTGTGATGAGGAAAGAAAAGGTACACTGTCATTAGGCAGCTGGGACTATGTGCTTGAATAGTCATTTTATGGCAGTGAATTGTGCTTCTCTTTTATGCTGCTTAAAGTCTTTCTATGAAGTGACAACATCACCCATTCCAAAACATGATAACGTTGTGTGCAAAAAGAAACCTCCACCACCTCATTAAAAATAAATAATCAAACTGAGTGTGATGTTGCCTAATTCCATTGATCTGAAGGCTGAAACAGGAGGACCACGAGTTGAAGGCTAGCCCAAGATATATAGTATGAGACATTTTCAAAGATTTAAAAAGAGAATGAAATCCTCTATCAGAAAACCTTGTCCATGGTGTAGCTCATTCAGTGTTTTCAGTAATAAATTTTCTGGAGGGGTGGATTCCAGTAATGAGACAAAATTGAATGTTGCTGGGTTCAAGCGTTTATACAGAATTGTGAGGCAGTTCTGACTATCAATGAAAAGGGAAGGTCTATTTCTAATTAATCATAAGTTTGGAGTGAAATGTGGTATCTCAGGTAAGCTAGTGTTCTAAAGATCATTGAGTAGAAGCCTGTTCACTATGCAGTCTTAAGATAGAGAGCTGAAGCCTGGCAGTATTATGCAGCAAAGGGCTGAAGCTGGTCTCTGGTGGGCAGCAGAGAGTTGAAACCTGTTCCTATTGGGCAGTAAAGAGCTGAGCAGCAGAGCCACCAGTAGGTTTAATGAGCATTTGAGTCAAAATGAATCAGGCAAAGTCCTGTTCATGCTCCCCACTTCCATTTTACCTTTGTAGTCAGAGCTCTGTGGAGGTTGTGGCTCTTGGTAGACTAGTAAGACTATAATTTTTATATTATTTGTTTTTTGAGGTAGGGTCTTGCGAGTTGTCCTAGATGGCCTAGAGCTCCTGGGCTTAGGTTCCTCAGCTCCTCTGCTTCTCACAGCAGCATTTATCACTGGATTGGGGACATTAGAACCCAGCTGCTATTAGAATTCAGGGCTGGTGATCGTTATTTTGGCTGAGGTTTCTTTCCTGTGGTTTGTTGTATTCAAGGTTGTCTTATGTCTGTTGTAGGTCTGGCCAAAGAATATTGCAAGTGTCACAGTGGTGGGATGGGGCAGAGTAGCCTTTCTTCCTGTTTCTGTAGTTTGTATTTCTTTTGAGATATGCTGTTAAGTAGCCTAGGCTGATTCACTCACCATCCTCAGCCTCCTGAGGGTGCACTACTACATCTGACTCAAATGCTTTACAAATAACTCTGTGCCCTTTATTTTCTTCCTCTCTGTTTGGCCTTTAGGTGCTGAGTTACTTTCACCAACAGAGAGTGCGTCAGGGAGTGGAAGAGATGTTGTGTAGGTTGTACAAGCCCATCCTGTGGCGAGGACTGAAGGTAATGCCTTACTGTGTTTCCTAGTGCAGGGTGGGCTCGGAGCTGAGCTGTGCTGATTCAGACATGCACCACGCAGCTAAAAGAAGCCCGCAGACAGTGCCTTATGGAATTTTAGAACACAATTTCTTATGTTTTGAGCTGTGCTCTCACTGTGCTGCTCATCCTAGCCACCTGGGCCGAAGTGATTCCCCTGCCTCAGCCTCAAATATAGATGGACATATATGTGCCACTATTCCTGGCCCTCAGTTTTTGACGCTTATGAAGAACATTTCTTTGATCCACTTAACTGAAGGGAGATCAGTTTTGTACTGAGTAAACAGTTACTGCGAAAACCAGTCCAGAGGGTCACTGGAGGTGTGCACACATGTCAGTGAGGCTGGGTAGAGCAGCAGCTGTGCTGCATGCTTGTTCTCATACTCTCGTGCCTGTGATGAGGGTGGACGGCATAGGCGCTCTGCTTAACTTTCTGGTGAGCACCTAGTTCTGCACAAACAACTCTGGTGTGAATAGAAGGCAGTAACATCTCTTAATAATAAGAGTTTTCCCTCTTTCTCTCTCTCTAATAGTCCCAAAATTGAAAACTTTAAGTGCATCTTTGAAGTGAAAAAACTGATCTTTTATCTGTTGACATTGAACTTAGAGTTTGGTTTATTTTTAGGATATCCTTATAAAGCTTGAGTATTTACTTTTATGATGCCAAGGCCAGAGCCTAGGCCCCCACACATGCTAAGCGTGTACTTTGCCACTAAGTTACATCCACAGCCTGGTTTTGCCAACATAGAGGTTAAATTTACCTTTTTATTTTTATTGCAATTTATTTATGAATTAGGCAGTTGGAATATTTGTGGAGGCACAGTACAGCATGTAGAGTCAGTTCTCTCTATCATGTGTATTTCTGGAATTGAACTCGGGTTGTCAAGTTCAGGGGCACGTGCCCTTGTCCTCTGAGCCTTCTTGCCAGCCCCCAAAGTTGTCTTAATTTGTAAATGAATATTTAGGAAATTGTGGAAGTATTGATCTGGGAACACTGGTCTCTGGATATCTAACAATACACATGTTTTTATAGGCCAGAAATTCTGAAGTTCGATCAAATGCTGCATTGCTGTTTGTTGAAGCATTTCCTATTAGAGATCCAAACTTCACTGCCATTGAAATGGACAGTGAAATTCAGAAGCAGTTTGAAGAACTATATGTACGTATTATGTGGAGGGCATTCACTGCTTGCTAACCTGTGTGTCACGTAGCTAACTGCAGGGTTGATGCTTGCCAGCAGGGTTGTCCTGCTGAGAATGCCCACTCTGCTGAGGTCTCCAGAAGCACAGATCCACCCTGTCCCTTCTTCGTCTTTCTAGACACTCTTGAAACATTCCACTTTGTATTCAGGTAGTTTTTCAGGGGTATAGCTGTGCACGCTGTGTACCTGTAACCGGTAGACATGTGTTAGCACTTTGACTTGCAGACTTGACTCTACTGAACTCCCACTTGATAGCTTTGTGGCTTTGGGAAAATCATTGACCTTTTCAAATGTCTTTATCTGTGACATTTATACGGACTGAAAATATTCAGAACAGAAATGTGCAGATTTTGTTCCATGCCATTAGTCCATAAACAATACAGTAGAACAGCTACTCATGTAAACCTTCTATGGGAAGCACGGATTAAGGCTGGGTGGCTTTATTTATATGAGCAGCTGCAGTTTGAATCCTGGAGCTGGTTTCCTTCAGAGTACCTAGGGACATGGACTATAAGGCCAGTATCTGCAACTTTTAAGTATGTTATTAAGTTTTAAATTCCCAGAGTATTTAATCTGTAACAAATAATAATTTAAAAGGTGTAACCTTTTTCTTCTCTCCTACTTTTAGAGCCTTTTAGAAGATCCTTACCCACAGGTTCGTTCCACAGGCATCCTTGGTGTTTGTAAAATAACTTCTAAGTACTGGGAAATGATGCCCCCCACCATTCTTGTTGACCTCTTGAAGAAAGTCACAGGGGAGCTGGTATTTGATGCAAGCTCAGCTGATGTTCGTTGTTCTGTTTTTAAGGTAGGGTTTTTAAAGGTATAAAAATAGCATTCTCTTGTAGGATAGTAGAACTATAAGGATTTCATAGGAAAAAGAAGAAAATTATTAGAAAATTACATATTATCCTACTCAGAAGGGAAAAAATGTTACTGATACTGTGGCAGTTTTTCTATATTAAAACTATACATTTTTGGTAAATTTTTTTTCTATTTTTAAAATACAAAAATTATTTCATGTGTGTGGATGTTTTGGCTATATGCTATGTGTGTGTCTGGTGCCCATGGATGCCAGGAGAGAGTATTGGATTCTGTGGAACTAGAGTTACAGATGGTTGTGAGCCTTCACTAGGACGTGAACCAAGGTCCTCTGCTAGAGCAGCCAGAGGCTCCGGGACCTGGTGTTGAAGGCAGTTTGTGAGGAGGTCCTTCTCATGGTTGCTGGAAACTGAAGTTGAGTCCTCTGCAATATATAGCCAAGACCTATAATAGCAGAAATGCTCAGGAGGCTGAGGCAGGAGGATTTTGAGTTTGAAATGTGCGTGAGTTGCTTAAAGACCCTGTTTCAAAGAACTGTGTTTTCTCTATAAAATGTTTTGTTGCCTTAGTACTAGTTTTTGGGTTGGGTGTAGTTCACCAGCTCTCTACAAGTCCTCCTGTTTGCCTGTGTGGAATGTCTTGCTGAGCTGTCTCACCAGCCCCAAAGCATGCCTTTAATGTGCAGTTTCACCTTTCAATGGCAAGAGTAGACTCAGCATCATCTAAGATGCCTCCTACCTAAACGTGTTATTGATGTGTTCTGATTTTGAGATGCTTTCTCTCTCTCTGTAGTGTTTGCCGATTATTTTGGATAATAAACTGAGCCACCCATTATTAGAACAGCTTTTGCCACCACTCAGGTATAGTCTCCACGACAATTCAGAGAAAGTGAGGGTGGCTTTTGTTGATTTGTTGCTGAAAATCAAAGCTGTGAGAGCTGCAAAGGTAAGTAGGACGTTCTTAGAGAATACTGAAATACACAAAGTACATTTGTTACTACCCAACAGAAAGACTTAGTTTTAATTCTAGGAACCTTTACAATTAAATTTTTTTTTGAGTTTTAGAAACATGTTTATTTATATACATATACATTATATGAACTAAGCATCCGCTATATCTTTTTTTTTATTAATTACACTTTATTCACTTTGTATACCCCCATAAGCCCCTCCCTCCTCCCCTCCTAGTCCCACCCACCCTCCTCCTTCTTTACGCATGCCCCTCCCCAAGTCCACTGATAGGGGAGGTCCTCCTCTCCTTCCTTCTGATCTTAGTCTATCAGGAGTGGCTGCATTGTCATCTTCTGTGGCCTGGTAAGGCTGCTCTCCTGATAACTAATATATTTGCTAGATTTCATAAAACTTTGTTTTGTGTTTCTCATGGAAGGTTCTAGAAATAATGTGTGTTTTATTTTGGAAAGACTAATTTAAGAAATCAACTTTACATGTTTTTAAATGTTATTTCTTGTGTGGTGGGGCTTGTGTCCATAGTCTATTTGTGGAGGTCAGAGGAGAACTTGAGAAAGTTGGTTCTTTCTTTCTACTGTGTAGGTCCCAGGGATTGAACTCAGGTTGTCAGCCTTGGTGACAAGGACCTTTATCTGCTAAGATGTCTTGCAGGTCATTTCCCCCCACCTTTTTTTAAAGATTTATTTATTTTATAGATTATATCATGTTCTCCATGAATACCTGTACGCCATTCCTGTGTAGATGGTTGTGAGCCACTGTGTGGTTGCTGGGAATTGAACTCAGGAGCTCTGGAGGAGCAGCCAGTGCTCTTAACCTCTGAGCCAAAAAGTAAATATTTGATGCATCTATACATATTTACCACTTAGTTAAGAAGTTAAATAGTTCTTGCAAAGGTTAGCTGAAAGCCATAGTGCTTTAAAAAAAAAAAAAAAAAAAGGCAAGGAATTGCTTGTAACATGGTAAGTATGCATTGGGCATCGGCCAATTTATTGGCATAATCAAGAAGACATAAAAGTTGCCCTCTTCCCGACTCCAGTTCAGGGTCCTTCTTCCCCACCCCCTGCCCTTCTGATACTGGAGATTGGATTCAGGGCCTCGTGAATGTTGGGCAGGTGCTCTGCTATTGAGACGAGAGGATTTTAAATTCAGAAGGAGTTCAAGGCTAGCTTGGGCAGTTGATCACCCATAGGGCCTGACCCTGTGCCTTGAACTCACGTAGAACTTACCTGGACTTGGGTTCAGGAGGGTGTGTATGAGTTGGTAGGGATGGACTCCTGTGTGGAGGAGTTTCCCGGGTCGAGCAGCCTGTGCTCGATTTGGGGTTGTAGCTTAGTTGGTAACCTGGGCTCATCCCTGGCACAAATATGTGTGGTGCTGTATGCCTACAGTTCTGCCATTCAGGAGGCAGAGGCAAGAAGACCAGAAGTTTAAGTTAATCTTCAGCTACAAAGTGGGTTTGAGGCTGGCCAGGCTACTTGAGTCCCTCACTTAACACAAAGAAAAGAAACCGCCACTAAATACAGTGCTGGTGTCTGTCTCTGGTGGAGTATATGGTTATGGGAGCTTCTGAGCTGGACAAGGGGTGCCCACAGTAGGAGCAACAAGCCAGTCGTCCTAGCATGTTAAGTAGGAGTGCTCTGGGTCTTTTAAGAGAGATGGGTAAGGTGACCACGTCAAAACTATTAACCGATTTAAAAGCATCTTCCAGGTAATAGATCAGTTATTGGATCTACAAATGTAGAAATGATCAGCTTGATTAATTGGAGCTATATCATTTGTGCATTAGTCATGCATAAGCACTCATAGTTGACCTTTCCACAGCCTTGTGCCATACCTTACATGTTACATTTCTTCAAAATGTAGATTTGTTACTTTTGTTCAGAGAAAAGTCACATTCTGATATAGCTATTTGAAATGATTTTTCTTGAAGTGAAAAATTAGTTCTTTGGTTAATGTTCTGGAAACTTCAGCAGTTTTCAAGATTATAGGAGCCACTGATTACTTCCTTTTGTCTATTTCCATTCCAACCCCCTAGTTTTGGAAAATATGCCCCATGGAGGACATTTTGGTTCGCCTGGAAATGGATTCTCGGCCTGTGTCTCGGCGCCTGGTGAACCTCATCTTCAATTCTTTTCTGCCTGTGAACCAGCCTGAGGAGGTGTGGTGTGAGCGCTGTGTCACACTGATCCAGATGAATCGTGCAGCTGCCAGGAAGTTCTATCAATATGCCCATGAGCATACTGCCAGCGCCAACATAGGTCTGAATCCTTGCTCCCCTGTGTTCTGCTGCCTCTCACTTAGCAAAGTGTATACTATAGATGCTCAGTACCTATCACTTTAGTAAGCCTGGGGTTCTCCTACATCTTTTACAATGCCCTTTAACTATTTGAGATTATAGTTTTCTAATTTTATAGAAGACACATGTGTTTGTTGCCTGTCTTAATCACTTTAGCAAAGCTCATCCACGTCATCCGTCACTGCTTGAATGCCTGTATCCAGAGGACTCTGAGAGAGGAACCCGAGGACCACAAGGAATGTGAGAAGGAAAACGTCAGCGTGAGTGCCTCTCTTATTTCACGCTAATGACAGGGAGGGCTTGTTTTGGTATTATTTCTATTTGTTACATTTTTGTATTTCTCACTTGTTTCAGTAAAGATACTTCAGTTTTCAAAAAGTCATGAATTACGTTTTTTAAAAAAACTGTTATTTCTTTTGCACTTAAATTTTACAGTCTGGTAGGATATTGTAAAAATAATATTATTACTGGTGACATTTTGCCCTGGGCCTCTCTGTGTTTGATTCCTCTTGGGTGTAACACTATTGAGCCAGAATCCGGACATGGGGCTGGTGTCTGTCCGAGGCACTGGCATGATGCTCTTTAGAAACATTTGGCGGTGAACTTCTGGATGCAGACTTTCTGTAGAATTGTCTTTAATCGGCTGCTCTTTCATTAAAACCCAAAGTGCCCCATAATGGCCAGTTAAGACTCAACACACCCACTGCTGACACACAGTGTCCTACACTTGTGGGATTACCTCCATAGATTGCCCCCTGCCATCTTGACAGGGAGCTAGCTCCACCCCTGAATAGATGTCCTTCTCTCTTCGTCCCTGATTTGGCTGGTCTGGTCTGAAGTTGGTCTGTAGGAACTAGTGAAGAGATATAAGAAAGTAGATGCGCAGTGGAGGGAGACAGTAGTTAGAACATGGTGACTTTATCTTCCTACCTTGGCTGAGCACTGCCTTGTCCTGTGCCCAGAGCTGTCTCAGTGGTAAGTCTCTGCTCCTCCCCCTGCACTGTAGGTAGTGTGTAGGGAGCTTTTCAGGGCGACGTAGGTGGGTTGTCATGTAGCTTTGATCTGTAGGTGATCAGTAGGTGATGTACTTAACAGCCTGGCACTTGAGGTAGTTGGCATTTGCTAAAGTGGGTAAACACCCTGCTGTGGGTCACTGCACCCTTATACTGGGATTGAAAATGACTTTGCGAAAGAGAACATGGATTTGTTAATGTACTAGTTGAGAATTTGTTACATTTTCTAAATATTGAAGAAATTTCTTAAAACTTATTTGTTTTTTGCTGTTGTTGTTTATTATGTATACAGTGTTCTGTCAGCACGCCAGACGATGGCACCAGATCTCATTAGAGATGGTTGTGAGCCACCATGTGGTTGCTGTGAATTGAACTCAGGACCTTTGGAAGAACAGCCGTACTCTTAATCTCTGAGCCATCGCTCCAGCCCTTTAACCTTATTATTAGTAGCTTATTATTAGTAGCTAGATTACTTTATGGTGAAAGCTTGCAGTATCTTTTAGGTTAAGTTCTGTATCATTAGAAGAGAATGATTTTCATTGTACCCTGTGCACAACATATGTAATTTGCTAGGTCGACAGGGGTTCAGAATGTATAACTATACTGGAACCCATGTTAGGAAAAAAAAAAAAACATGTAACTTGCATATAGGTATTCTAAGATCACATATATATCTAAAATGTTTTGTTGTTGGGATAATCTCACTATGTAGCCTTTGCTGTCTTGGAAGTCTGACTGTGGCTTTGAACTTAGGGCACTCCTCCTTTCTATTGCCATCTGAATGCTGAGATTACAAGTTCTACCATGCCCAAGTTTTTAAAGAAGTCTTTTAAGATTTTCTCATGTTTTGCAGACATGGAGGCATATAACTTTAATCCCAGGACTCGGGTGGTAGAGGCAGATGGACCTCTGTGTGTTCAGGGCCAGCCTGGTTCTACATAGTGAGTTCCAGGACAGCCAGGGCTATATAGAAAGACCTGTCTGAAACAAACAAAACAAACACTTTCTCCTGGCTATCTGTTAACATCTTAAGATGTTCTTTGCTAAAATAAAATACTAGAAGTGTTACAATGCTGAAGTATTGTAGCTACCCTCCTAACGTAAGGAGCCATTACTTAAGAACCCAGTATATTACTCAAGCGTTACTCCGGGGACCTGTGGTCCTTGTACATTTTAATGAGTCTGCTGTGCTAAGAGATTGAGCCTCTGTGGCTTACTTTACAGTGAATAAACCTACTTATGTTTCTAGGCTGTTAAGACATTGTGATCACATGCTGGAACGCTCAGTGTATCTAAGTGCGCTCCATCCAATAACTTGCTCTTCTGTTCAGCGTTAGAGCACAGAAAAGGGAAGGCTAAGCCCAGAAGGAAGACTGGGATCAGTTTGTCACGTTATTCTGGTAGCGTCCAAGCCACCAGCAGGTTGCTTTATCAATCTGACTGGCCTCGTTACATTCCAGAGTATTTCGTGCATGCTGACATAGCTTCTAAGGAGGAGCTATGCTTGCCTCTTTGTGTTTTTATTAATCAAAATGAGTTTCGTACTCACAGTTGACGGTCAAATCTACAGAGTCGTCCTCCTCACCTCAACGCTAGGAAGTTACTTCATTGTGTGTGTCTGTTCAGCTCCAAAGGTCAGCCACCAATGTGCAGGTCATAAGCCAGGTCTAGTCTCCAGCTCTGGAGGGAGGGATTTTGGAATACACATTTGATTTGCACTGAGCATTCTGCTGTGGGGTCATTGTGCACTCCCAGCATAATAGGAAAATATAAACAGGTTTGTTTTTCAACAAACCAAAGAAACCTATGATTTTAGTGGTTGTTGGCTATCGTTAATCACTATCCATTGGTGAGTTGTATCCTGCTGGACTCAGTGTCTAGCAGCAGTGCCTGCTGGGACAGACCAGTGTTGTACAGCCATGCTTTGCAATTGCCTTGTAGTATAGTGTAAACCCGTTTGCATGGTGTATGTGGTAAAGATTGCTAGTTTCTGATTTTACAAAAGTCTTAATTTCATATAGATGGTTTCATTACATAGGGTTAATTTAGAGTTTATTTCCTTGGATGGAATGTGGAAATAAAGCTACATTCCTGATAGAGATAGGTTCTAAAGTAGTGAAGAAAGTTCTATTGGACCATAAAAGTTGACGTTCCATAATTTATGTGGTTTTGTGTCTGCAATTCTGAGACAGTGCTTCTGTCTTTAACACTCGTTACTGGATCCTTTCACAGTAGCATTATTTGTGTCCTAGGTATTAGACAACACCTTGTCAGTGAATGACACCGTGTCCATGGCAGGGTTACTGGAAATCATTGTGATCCTCTGGAGGAGCATCCATAGGAGTTTGGAGAACAACAAAGAGGCCAGAGCTTACACCATCAGTAAGTTTGCATCTGTGCTTCCGGAGTACCTGAAGGTGTTCAAGGTAAGTCTGGCCGCTCTTATAAGGTGCTTTGGGATAACAGCGGTGTCATCTTCAGTGGAAGCTTGGCAGCATACTCATTTAGCAAAAGCGAAAGCAGTGGCTTTCGACCTAGGACTTGTACCTCCACCATGGTTGTGGGCCAGTTGTATAGGACGAGGAATGAAATCAGTTCTGCGCAGTAGGCCTTAATGCAGTTTTTCAAAGGGGTTGGTTATCTCCATAGCAGTCATGCCGCTATTGTGCCAGTGGGTACATCCTGTCTGGCTTACACGAATTGTTCTTTCAGCATCTGCTGCAGGGAAAGACCATCAGTTACTTCGTCTCTAACGGCTTGCAGAGGAGGCTGTTTTGAAAGAGGAAGTCTTTAGCGCAGTCCCCACCGGATTTCTCTTTGACCCTCAATCAGAGTGTGTAGTGTGTTCAGCGACTATAGATCTTACTGTGTATGTGTGGTAGGCAGCGAAGAGCTGCCTGTGTTATTTTACTTTCCTCTGGGGGCTCCCTTGTTGAGAACTCAGGAATTCTAGGCTTGGCACTAGGATTTTCTAGGAGTAGCATTAGCCACCTCTATTCAATCTCCATTAAAAAGAAATATTATATTTTAAATTAGTTTACAAAGCAGTGAGTTTCTATAAGGCTTTTACATACATTCTTGATTTTAGTTAACCCTCCTCTTTATTTCCTTCTCCCCTTCTTCCCCTCCTCCCACCTACACTAAACCTTTCTATCCTCAATATTCTCCCTGTTTGCTTTTGTGAAACATGCACAAAAAAGATATTTTTAGTTGACAGATACAAATTTTATACTGTTTTTAAAACATTTTTTTGCAGTATGTGTAACTTGTGGGATGGTGAAATTGAGCTACTAAGTGCATTGCCCACATATTTATCACATTTATACTCTGTTCAGGATTTTCAAGAATATTTCCTGGCTATTTAATCTTGCCATCATGTTTACTATAGATATTGGGAGTTAGGGTAGAGTTAGCCACAAAATTGAATGCAGGTGAATAATACATCTCACTTTAATTTTTGTTCTTCATTCTGTGTTCACGTGTATTTTTAGGAAAATTATTTTTTTGGGATCCTCATTCTCTTAGAAAAGAATTTTGTTGTGTTTTGTTTTTGTGTGTGTATGTATGGTATGTATGTCCACGATTGCACGCTTATGTGTATGTGTGTGCGCATATTGTGGTATGTATATATGTTTGCACGTTTGTGTGTGCGTGTGTGCTTCTGTGCATGTATATGTGTGTGTTATTCATTGAGGAATGGTCTGTTAGCTCAATCTATGACTCATCAATATGGCTAGTTTAGCTAGCCAGCTTGCTCTGGGGATAATTGTCTCTATTCTCTGACCACTGGAATAACAGATAGGCTGCCACCTTCACCAAAAATTTATGTGGATTCTGGGAATCCTAACTCAAGTCTTCAGACTTGAATAGCAAGGACTTTAAGTGCTGAGCCATATTTCCAACCTTTATGTGGTATTCCTGATGGAGTCTGAGTAATTAAAATCTGCTCAGTTTACTTTACAGTTGCAGTAATAATATCAATTAAGCTTCAGTTTATTGCACTAGGCACACTTTAGGTTTCCCCGTGCCCACTGTCTTGTGGTTTGGTTCTTTCACTCTTTAATAGCACTCTGCCTTTTAGGAGGAAGCTGACTGCGTTTAGGCCCTTTCCTCTGTTTTACTTGGTTCAAGCTCTTAAGTATAGGATCCAATTAGACTGAGATTTATTTTGTAGCTACAAAACTACAATTAACACCATCTGATTCATCTTTATAATACTATCTAAATAGCATAGTCCTCTTAAGAGTTATGTTCAAGATAAGTAATTAGTCAGCTTTTTCCTGTCATCCTTGTTTTGAAAGTAAGTACAGCTCCAAGACTAGACTTCCTGCTGCTAGTGTTTGCTCAGTAGTGACGGTGGTATAGAAATGTCGGGATACATGATTCAGGTAATCTTAATTTTAAATTGAAGGGCACCTTTAGATTTGATTTTTTTCTAGGTAGTGAAAGAATTACAGGAGTACATTTTGAGCAATTATGGAAATAGGTTATTAGAGAAAATATCCTATTGTCAAATCCTGTGTTAGCTTGATGTTCCTTTCTTTGTTCACAGGATGAGCGCTGCAAGATTCCTTTGTTTATGCTAATGTCCTTCTTGCCAGCCTCTGCTGTCCCTGTGTTCAGGTATGCTGCCACAGAGCAAGAATCTATCCTTAACTGGGGTTTGCTGTCACCTACTCTGTGTTTCTCCTCTCTGCCTTCCCCTCTATATGGAAAGATTAGGATGGGATATCAGTGGGCTCTGAAGTTGTTAAAGAGAGACCATGAGGATCTCAGCTATGATGTCATCTGATGTCTGGGTGCTACTCTAATATCCAGAGCAGTAAACTTTAGAGCCTGTGGTTACTGCTGACCACACATGGCTCCATGTACTTAGACTGTGCTGTGAGCACAAAATTCACACATGAAAGGAAGAATGTCAAATACTGAATACATGATAAAGTGTTTTGAAGAGGAGGATTAAGTAAGTTGTTGAGGGCTGGACGGATGGCTCAGCGCTTAAGAGTATTGACTGCTCTTCCAGAGGACCTGGGTTCAGTTACCAGCACCCGTATGGCATCTCACAGTCACCTGCTTCTCACAGTATCGGGGGCTCTCTTCTGTCCTCCTCGGCACCAGGCATGGAAATTAGGCAGTAATCTGACAGCTGGCTTTAGAAACAGAAGGAGGTGTGGGCCATGTCCATTTGCAGCTGTAGGCTAAGGCTTTCATGGTGAACAAGTACCAGTGGAGCCGTGAGGCCTGTGTACCCTTGATGCAATCAGATCATGTCTTGGTTTTCTTCACCTTGTGGGAAAGTAGGGGCTTTCTGTAGAAATACTAACCTAGTTTTCTGCACTTGGCTTTTTCAGCTGTGGTGTGATTTCTGTCCTGAGAAATCAGGAGGAGAATGTTACAGGCAGGAGCTACTGTACCTTGTTGGACTGTCTGTGTTCCTGGGGCCACGTGGGCCATGTCTTGGAGCTCATTGTGGACTGGCTGCCACCAGGGCCACTGCAGGCCAAGGTGTGTATGCAGCCATGCCTCTGCAGTGTGTAGAGCAAGGGCCTCTGGGAACAGTGCAGCCTTTTGGAAACTGAAGCTCTGACTACCTCTTTGTTTCACTCTTCTCCTTCAGAGTAATTTGGCCTCTAAACGTAAAGTACAAATCAGTGACGTGTGCCCAGTGAAGCCCGAGTTAGCACTGTTGTACATGGAGTACTTGCTGACCCATCCAAAGAACCGGGAGTGTCTGCTCTCTGAGTCCAAGAAGAAGCTTAACCAGCTTTTAAAGGCACTTGAGAGATCCAAGGTAACTACATATCCTGGGGATTAGCATGGCCTCATGTGGTAGTAATGAAGCCCGTATGGTACAGCGAAGCCCATGCTTGTCATGCTGTGTTTCTGTAATGTTTTACACCTGGAAAAGAACTGACAGTGAACTCTAGATTCTAGTGGATAGCTGAGGCAGGAGCAGAGCCACTTCCAGGACCTGTCTCCTCATAAGGTCCTCACAAGCAGTGTTTAGAGCCCACCTTTCTCCATGGTTTCATGTGTCAGGGCTCCACTTTCTCTACTCCAAGACCAGGTGTCAGTGAAGAAGTACTAGCTCTCTTAGGTCTTGGGCAGTGTTTTCTAGGAATTCGTTGTTCCCCAACTGGCTCTGGCCACCTCCTGCAGGGTTCTCCACTGAGCAGTCCTTCTTGATACCACCCAGGATGGAGGTTCAGCAGAGCCTGCCATGAGGAAACAAACCGTGGTCCTTGTGTGTGGTGGTCCTGGGGCCCTGTGCGCCTGCTGACAATGCTGTGTGTGTGTAGAGCCCGCTCAGCAGGGTGTGTCAGGTGCAGGGTTGGCAGCATGAGCCACACTGCTGGTCACCTTCTGCTGTACCTAATGATCAGGGATCCCACCTTGCTGTGGTGGCGTCATGTGTCATTCAGAATGCGGACCCTGGGTTATAATTTTACAGGCAGATCTGGAATCATTTCTTCAGTCTCCAAGTGGGAATCCCCACAACTTCAGTAAAGCAGCTGCTCTGCATGCCTTTGGTCTTTACTGTAGGCTGAGTGTCCATCTTCAATACAAGGTATGCTGTCTGTTTCTGTGGTCTGAGCATCATGTATCAGAGCTGCTTTTGTTACTCACTAGCTTCTTTATTGTGTTGGATAGTTCTGCTCAGAAGAGAAAATTCATCTGTCCATCTTGAATGACACTGGGTCTTGGTTAGAAAATAAAGTTTTACCTCTTCTTCAAGATCAAGAAGAGGAGTATCTGAAGCTTCGGAGGGATGTCTATCAACAGATCGTCCAGGTCAGCATCTGGGACACAGAGCTCGTTTTCTTGACCTTGTGCTGTATTTTCAAAATGGCTTATTTTGTTGTAAAGTGGTTTTAAAGCTTGCTGTAGCTTATAATACCCAAAATTGCATTACGTTTACAAACACAATCTACGTAATTTTAATTCATGTTAACATGTTGCATGTGAACAGTTTATTTGGTTAGGTGGTGGAATTTCATAGTGTCTGAGAGTTCTTACAGAATCAATAAAAATGTATGTATTTATGGAAATTTCTTTAGCAATGTACTTGGAGACATTTGCTTATAACCTCAGCAAGTCACATAACGGGAAAGGCTTTGTAGGCTTGACTGCCTTACTTGTTACTGATGGAGCCATACATGTCTTACAGACTTACCTGGCTGTGTGTAAAGATGTTGTCATGGTTGGCCTTGGAGACCCTAAATTCCAGATTCAGCTTTTGCAGAGGAGTCTTGGGATAATGAAAACAGGTACCACCACATCAGTCATCAAGTAAAGGGTTGTTCAAAGCAGTGAATATTTATAGCCGGTCCATGCTTCCTTCCCTTTTCCTTCCCTCTGCAGATCAGAGTATGGCTTTCAGCAGTTGACACGTAACACATCCTGGCTTTAGCTAAAACAGTTGCCTATGCTGATGCAGCTAGCAGTCTCAGATGCTGCTGATGTCAGGCACATTGCCCCATTTCTGAAGGGTTCTTGGGGTCTGGCTCTCTGGGTCTGCCTTGTGGGTGGGCAGACATTTCCATCTGGCATCTGTGTAGAGACCCCAGAAGAAGGTTGAGTGATGTGGCCAGGAGGATGGCACTCCTGGAGCCAGAGCCAGTGATGCCTCTGGCACAGTGTATGCTAAGAAGAGTCCTACTGAGCTGTGGCCTTGGATCTTCCCAAGCCGCCATCATCACATCCAGATGCACTATCTCTGTGTTCTAGACTGTTAGTAGTGGTTTTTGCTACACAGTCAGTTACTGAGCTCTATGGAAATGTCTGTCCATATTTGAAATTTTCATTTTAAAAGTCCAGTAATTTGCTGAGAGAGGCAAATTACTTCATTAAATGCAGCTTAGCAGTTTATTTTGACAAGATTAACCATTGCGGTCAGTGGTGTGGATGACGTAGCTTGGACTCACTCTTATAGCTTGGACTCACACCTTCCAGGCAGGCCTGAGTGAGGTCCTCTCCTCCCTGTGCTGCTGGACACTAGCTGGCAACTTCAACTATAGCAAGATACTGTGTTGGTTCACACACTTAGCTCTTTTTTTTTTATAATAATTTTTAATTTTTTATATTAATCACAGGTTATTTACTTTGTATCCCAGCCGTAGCCCCATCCCTCATTCCCAATCCCACCATCCCTCCCTACTCAGTTCTTTTTAATCATATAGTAAGAACTACATTCTCTATGTAAGATTAATAATTGAAATGAACAAAATGATTTGTTTTCCTATACTTCGTTTACCACTTAGGAATTGTTTTCCTTAAGGGTGAATCTTCTTTTAATTATGTATAGAGTTGAGTCTTGTACAACTAAACAGATTTTGCTCTCCAGTTAGTTCGTTTTATCATTTGGTGGTACCCAGTCTTTTTAGCTCAAGTCTAGAGCTGGGCCTGCATCCAGCAGCTTAGGGAGCTGAGACCTAGAGTCTAACTGGTTTTTCAACTCTTTGCTCTGCTTGAAAGAGACAAAGTGAAGAAGCCATTTTCAGAAGTTACATGTCTTAGTTACTTTTCTGTTGCTCTGGTAAGACACCATAACCAAGCAACTTATAGAAAATAGTTTATTGGGAAAGTGAGTTCCTGACTTGCATGTCAAGGAGCATGGCAGTAAGCAGCAAGCTTGGAGCTGGAGTAATAGCTGAGTGCTTACATCTTGACATAGCCATCAGGCAGAGAAAGAGGGAGTTCACTGGGAATGGCATCAGTTTGAAACCTCAGAGCCTGCCCCAAGTGACATACCTCCTCCAACACAGCCTTACCTCCTGATCCTTATCAAACAGTCTACCAATTGGGGACCAAGAATTCAAAATAGAAGCCTCTGGGGGCCATTGTCTTTAGATGACCACAGTATGTCAATATTAGTTACACCTAGGTAGATATTCTTTATAAGCCCAAGTATATTCTCTAAAGAAGCCATTCCCAAGACACAGCTGGGTGGCCAGATGCATAAGCCAAATAAATAGGGTTTAAGTTTACAAATGTTAGTTGCTTCTGTTGTAATACAGTACACAGGTTGTGGAGAATCAGGCACCAAACATAGCAGGGCTGTGGAAAAGGAATTCTTACTCAAAAATACCAGCCCAGTTAAAAAGGAGGGAGTGGATGTGCTGTGATGTGAGAGGCAGAGAGAACAAGCTTCCTTCTTCCATTTCTTTCACACAGGCTCCCAGCGGAAGGTGCATCCCCACCTCAGGACACCTGCCTGCTTTTAGTCAGCAGTATCTTGGTTTAAACAGTTTCTTGCCTGTCCCATCAGTGGACATTCCACGTGACAACTGTACATGAGGAATGAGTTCTTCCACCCTTCTCTGAATGAGCAAGGAGTAGCTGGAAGTTTCGGTTGTGGTTTATGATTTTACACAGCTGCTTATTGATTCTGGCAGAGTCTGAGACCTAGAGAGGATCCATAGAAAGCCTCTGGGATGGAAAGTCTGTCGTCCCTCAGCACAAAGGTTTGCGGTGTAGTTGGCTATAGTCTCTGGCAGAGCTTGCTAGATCTTTGGTCCATTTTGTAGCTGAATTGCTTTCCCCTTCATATGCAGACCCGTTCTCTGGGCAAGTCCTTGTGGTCACTTGGACAGTAGGCTATCTGTGAGCAGCATTATTGCATGCTTGTTTTACCTTAATGCATCTTGTACCAAGGGGTTGGCCAGGAGGCTTGTTGTCCAGGGAGCTAAGGGCGAATCAGCACCTGAGCCGTGCGTTAGAGTGGGGCGGGTGATATAGGGTGCCCTTGATGCCTACTGGGAGCAGATCCCCCTCTCTGCTTTTGTATCTTTTACTGGAGAGATTGATTAGAAGGAAAAACAGAGGAATGGTGTTATTAGGCTTATTTACAGAGTAAGTTTTACTAGATTATGTACTTAGGCAGGGAGGTAATGGAAAAAACAAAGGGAACCTATTATTTACTACCAACTGTCAGAAATCTGTGAGGCCATCAGGTGATACTGAAAGATATGAGGTTGGACTTCTTTTGCTGGTTTTTATTTAGGTATTAATATAAGAGAAAGTGTGTTTTCTAGTTCAGATGTCACAGGAGTCACATTACTGGTTGTGCACACGCAGGGAACAAAGGTCTTAGTTTACTGACAGAGTCGGCCGTACTGTTCCTGCTGGGGAACAGATGTTTGTGTGCTGGGTTCTCCTTCGGATCACTCTGATAACCATGGTTCTGCTGACTCAATAGTAATAGGTTCTCCAGTGACTGTTATATACAGGTATTGAGCAACTTCAGTTAAATCACGTGTTTGGGTAATTGATGGTTCTTTCTTTTTCTAGTGAAGGGATTTTTTTACGTTTCATTACTTCTTGGCATTCTGAAGGAGATAACTGGAAGCTCCATGATTCACAGAATAGATTCAGATGAAGAAGTCACAGTACTTTTTGACCTAGTCCAGGAAGTATTTCAGAAGATGTTGGAATGTGTTGCCGGGACCTTCAGGAAGCAGCCAGAAGAAAGTCTGCCGGTATTGTACTTGAATGGGCCAGGTTCTTTGAGGGGTGGGGGTCAGGGTATTCTCAATGTGGCTGGCTTAGCTCCGTGGAGGCTCTGGCTGCTTGCATTGGCCCTCACTGTGCTATCTGCTGAGGGCATTGAGTGATGGTTGAGGCCAACCTGAAAGCTAGGCATGCCTGGATTCTTTGGGGTATTTAGACACACAGGCTTAGCTCAGTGATTGAGGTCCCATGAGTGACAGACAGGATATGAGCAGAACTGATCCCTGCAGCCCGTGAGCATCCCAGGTAGAGTAGATTTGTGAAGATGCTCATTTGAAGAGGGACAGTGACTGCCTGGGAAATTGCTGGCTCCGTCATCTGCTAATGTCCCCATTTAGAAGGATCTTGAAAGGGACCAGGGTTTTCTGTTGATTGTGGAAAGCTCATAGACTGAGATAATTGAGGAGCCAGGTCATAAAAATCAAAGGGCCTAGACCTGTTCCTAAAATGGTGTAAAGGCAGTTCCTGAATAATTTATACTGTTAGAGAGAGCCAGACTTTTTCTGTCAGTGAGCTGTTATTGTTTTAATTTTGAAAAATGTTGAAATGGGAGGCTGTTTATAAAATATTAAGGATTTTATTCTAGCCTTAGCTGATGGAAATACCTGAAAATTGTTGAGTCTGTTTTTCCTAGCTCAGTTCATGGTTGTTTCAAGTGTCTGATCTATTTGTGTAGTCTAGGCCTATTCTTAGAATCCCTGCCAGCTCTCCCACCATCCGCTATAGTGTTATTCCGAATACAGTGCCTGAGCTGATGATGCTATTTTAATGCTGTCAATTGCCTTTCTTTCTTTCTTTCTTTCTTTCTTTCTTTCTTTCTTTCTTTCTTTCTTTCTTTCTTTCTTTCTCTCTCTTTCTCTTTCTCTCTCCTTCCTTCCTTCCTTCCTTCCTTCCTTCCTTCCTTCCTTCCTTCCTTCCTTCCTTCCTCTTTCTTTTTTCTCTTTTTCTCTTTCACTCTCTCTCTCTTTGTCTATCTCTCTCTCTTTTTCTGATAAGATCTCAGTCTTGTAGCCTAGGCTGGCCTACAACTCCCAGTGTAGCCCAGGCTGGCCTTAAACTCACCTCAGTCCTCCTGCCTCAGCCTCCTGCTTTCTTGGATACAGATGTGAACCACCACAGTTGGTGCTTGTTTTTTGTTTGTTTGTTGTTTCGTTTTTTAATTGTGATTTTTAGCTGTACTGACAATGACTGATGTGTTTTCTTGTAGCTCTTTCATTCTATTCAGACCCCCCTTCATGAATTTATCAGCACTGTCCAGTCCTGGCACAAGGACACTGCAGTCCACCACGCTGTGCTCTCTACTCTGATCGCTGCACCTGTGGTCGAGATAAGTCACCAGCTGCGGAAGGTGAGGCACACTGACTGAAGCTGCCATGTTCCCTGACTGTTCTGCTTCCAGCACATGGTTAGGTGTTTGCTGTATAAGCTTTTGCTGAGGACTGTTTTGTCAGTTCCCTGACCTTGCCATTTAGCTGCTTGAGCATTGTGGCAGCTGTCCAGCATATGCTAAGGGTATTGTCCCTCCTGACTGAGATGGGTCTAGGCTCCATGATGGGGACATGTCTGTTGCTCTCACACTTTTGAGTGGATTGATAGTTTCTCAGGACCCTTCTTTGCTGGAGAGGAGATAAGCACAGTTGGGCGAGCAGTGCAGGACTGCTCCAGACTGTGCTGGTGTACGGTGGCTCACATCTCTGGACACCTTTTCCTTCATTTATAAATACAGGAAATTGACTATTTAAAGATGTGTGTTTCACTGGGTCGTGCTGGTGCATGTCTTTAATCCCAGCACTTGGGAGATAGAGGCAGGTGGACCTCTGAGTTTGAGGCCTGTCTGGTCTACACAGTGAGTTCCAGGACAGCCAGCGCTATTCAGGGAAACTCTGTCTTGAAAAACAACTAGAAAATTGTATTTATCATGTATGAGTGTTTTACCTACATGAGTGTATGTGTATTATGCATGTCTGGTGCCCACAGAGGCCAGGAGAGGGTATCGGATCCCCTATAACTGAATTTACAAGCTGTTGGCAGCTGCTTTGGGGGTTCAGCGGACTGAGCCTGGGTCCTCTGTGAAAGCAGTGCTCTCTTGGCACTGAGCTAGTCTTGTAGCTCCAGAAACTTGAAGTTTTGGTATCCATTCTCCTGACATATCTAGAGTAAGTGAGTGGAAGACTCTTCTTACACAGATTTAGCCTATGTGATTAAAGATTAATCTGACCAGGGGATCGTTTCAGGCGATCGTTTGAGCTAATACAGAAAGATACTGTATCATAGAGAGCATGCAGTATGGTAATTTTCTTCTTCAGCTCCGAGATGTCCCACATGGTCCCACACGCACGTAGGAGAAGTAGCACTGGGCTCTCTCACTGATTTGCATATACTTACAGGTCATGTACTGCTCAGCTATGGGTGTTCTAAGAAATGAAGCTTTTACTGCTGTTGCATTTTATCTTTTCTGTGCACTGTATCTTACTTGGTTTCTCAACTTGGGGTGGAGCGACCTTTTCACAGGGTCTCTTAAGACCATTGGAAAAACACAAATATTTACATGACTTTTAACAGTAGCACAATTACAGTTAAGAAATAGCAATGAAATAATTTTGCGGTTGGGGCTACCACAACATGAGGGACCGTAGGTAGCATTAGGAAGGATGAGAACCACTGCTCTAGAGGTTTTCACTGTGTGTGAGTTTGTCACAGTGTCTCCATGAATTCACCTTAGGCCTCCTGAAAAAATCTTATTGTATTTTAAATTGTGTTAATGTAAAGTAGTGCTTTCTCTCAGTGTATCATAAATGTATGCCCAACACTTATTTTGAGGTGCTAAACCTTATAATAATAATAATAATAAATAATAATAATAATAATAGTAATAATAATGACGTAATGATGATTGTCTTGAATATCCAGATGTGTTTTGTAACCCAGCAGAGTAGTTTTAGGAGTCTTGTCTGCTCCTGAGGACATGAAATCCCCAAGGCAGCCAAGACAGGCAAGAGACAGGGAGGGAGAAATAAAGTAAGATGGGCACACTCATGCTGTGGTGATTATAGGAGAAAACAGACGTAAGCCTCCTCTGGTAATAGGCATTACAAATTACTTCAGGAACTGTTTCCATGAGGAATTTACTCACCAAGGTGAATAACCTGCCTTTCCTCAGAGGTTTGGTAGTAAAGGGCAGGGTGTGTCCTTTGAGGGTGGGGCACATCAGGTTAAGGGGATGGTCTGTCAAGCAAGTGGGCAGAGAGGCCCGGCATGCTGCTCCATGTCTCTACCCTGCCCATTGTACCACAGGGAAGCCTGACCAAAACAGCAGCATTCTGAGACCAAGGAGTTGTAATGTGGGCTGAGAATGAGGACTGGTTAGATTGGCTGAGCAGGAGAGGTATATTGTTTCTAGAAGATGATGCCAAGTTAAGGAAAGGCCATTGATAAAGGCTTGCTGAGTGATAAGTCCTTATTTCTGTTTCAGTGAGTGAAACGTCTGGGTAAAACATTACATAACTCCTTATACTGAATAAAGCTTGTTCTTTTTAGTTTCTGGAAAGCTTTGCTCAGGTAGAAGACAACCCAAATCTGTGCACCAAGCTGTCAGTCTGGGTTTTTACAAGCACTGATCTGAAACTTCTCTAGGTTTCTGATACAGAGGAGCTGACCACACCACAATGTCTGGCTGACCTTCCTCCACTTTCAAGGTGTTTGGTGGGAGTAATAATGAAGTCTTCGGATGTTGTCAGGTAATTGTCTTCTCTCTCTGATCTTGGCACAGCCTTGTGTATAATTGTTCTCAGTGCCTTGTGCTTTAATACCTTTTGCTCTCAGGTTTTCAAAGGTATTTTTGCCCCCTGAGAAAAACATTCCATAGAGTTTTTTTTTTTTTTATTTTATGAGTGATGGAAAATGTTATAAAATTTTCATGAAGATGACCATTACTTTCTATAAACTGCTATATTCATTTAAATAGTTTTTAGCTATGCATATCACAACTAAATTCTGCTAAGGGAAAAAAAATGTGTGTACAAAAATACTTCTTGCTGGGAGGTGGTGGTGCAGGCCTTTATCCCTCTGCGAGGCAGAGGCAGGCGGATCTCTGTGAGTTTGAGGACATCTAAGGCTACACAGAGAAACCCTGTCTTGAAAAACCGAAGCCAAAAACAAAACCTTAGTGTGTGTTCAAGTTTGCTTCTCTGATGCTTTGATAAAACATTAACCAAAATCAGCTAGAGGAAAGGATATATTTAGTTATAGTCTGTCATAGAGAAAACCCAAGGCAGGAACTGAAAATTGAAACCTTTTAGGATCGCTGCTTACTTCTCTATGACTTGTTCAGCCTGCTTTCTTAAAACTCAGGACCACCTGCCCAAGGGTGGCACCAACACAGTGGGCTGGGCCCTCCCTCATCAGTCTTAATTGGGGAAAATGTACCATAGACACTCCCACAGCTCAGTCTGGTGAGTGATTGTCTCAGTTGAGGCTCTGTCTGCCCAGGTGACTCCAGGTTGTGCTAAGCTGACAAATACTTAGCAGCAAAACTGACCCATTGTCATCTTGGCATACATATCACTATTAAACCATGACCTTTCCTGTTTATCCCCAAGATTTCATGTTAATACCATAATGTAAAACGTAGTTTAATTTTAAAAGTCCCAGTATAACATTAAAAGTTCCATCGTATTTAAAAATTTCAACACTATGAAAGTAATTTCTTCCTTGAAAAAAAAAAACAAACAAACAACATTTCTTTAACTGTGGACTTCTGAAAAACAAATTATATACTTCTGTTATTACAAGGGGAAAGAAACAAGGCATAAAAACAGTAACACTTAAGCAAAAACCAAAGTCTACCAGTGAAACTCAAATCTTGTGACTTAATATCCGACACATGGGATTCACCTGCGTTTTACCGGGCTCCAGAGCACTTGGGTGACTCCGCATACAGCGTGTCTAGTAGCCTCCGGCTGGCTCTTCGAAATACCTGCTGCCTCCTGAACAGTTGTCTCGAGGGCCTGGCCTCTCCAGTATGTTGGAGTCTCCCTTGCAACTGAGGCTTTACCTTCACCAGTGGCTTCCTGGCCTCTCTGCGGGGGTCCAGCTTTGATACATGACCCCAAGCGTCAGCTGTTGTCTGAGACCCTTCATGACTTCAAAACTGATTCCATGTGGGAGACCCGACACATTACCACGTTTGGCTCCCAGTGTGGCTTATAGCCTTGCTCCAGCTCTTCCCTCCCCAACTGGACCCCAACTTCTGTATGCTGACCCTCTGGAAATACTTTGCAGTTTTCACCTTAGCTATGCTAGTCTCTTACTAATCACAGCTGATTCTTTGGCTCTAGCTCAACAGCAGCTCAGGTAACCAACATCATTTGTGTCATTAACCCAGATTACTTCCATAGACTCTTAATTCAAACTTTTATCACATAACCAACCCTGTAGAATTCTTACTTTCCTTCTGAAATGTCACAAACAGGCCTTCATCTGCATCTTTCTCAACATCCCTATCTTCCCAGAACAGCTCAGTATGCTCTGAACACTCAGTGGCCTCTTTAGTCCAAAGCTCCGAAATCCTTGCAGAACTCTCCCACAAAGCAATATGGTCATGTCCATTATAGCAATATTCCACTCTTTGGTATCAATTTCTGCCGTAGTTTTATCTGTTATTCTGATAAAACAGATCAAAGAGACAAGGGAGGAAAGGGTTTATTTGGTGTACATGTCCATTTACATTGTATCATTGAAAGAAGCTGCAGCAAGAACTCGGAGGCAGGGACTGAAGCAGGGACCTGGAGGAACACCACTTCAGCCTGCTCTCTTGTGTAATCAGGACCTCCTGCCCAGAGGTGGCTCCACCCATAGTGGGCTGGGCCCTCCCAGCTCAGTCAGTAATCTAGGAAACATAGCACAGGCGTGCCCACATAGTTGGAGGCAGTTCTCAGTTGAGGTTCCCTCTTTATAGGTGACTGTTCACTTTATTTTCATAAAATTGTATGTTTAACCCGGGTATCGCCCAAATAATTGAGACTCCATTATAATATTTGTTCATCAAGCTTTACAACACAGTACCAAGCAGCTATTTACTTTTACCTCTCTAAGCTAGTTGACCTTCCCAGTGTAAATCCCAGAGACCCTTTCTCTGTTTAGCTGCCCTCTTCTGCGCCCTTCTGGACCTCTGCCCTTGGCTGAATCCCCCCCTTCTCTGACTCCTGCCCTTCCCCCCCTTCTCTGACTCCTGCCCTGGCGGATAGGAAATCCAGCTCTGCTCTTCCCCCTGCTCAGCGATTGGCTGTAGGTGCTTTGTTGGCATATCAGGGGACAGTTGGGGAGCAGTGTTTACACAACGCTGAGACAGGAGGTTCTCAGAACAAGGGTTGCAACCAGATAGGGGAGGGTATAGAAATCAGCATCTGAGTAACAGTGACCTGTGCGCGCAGACGACTCGTTTGTTCGAGCTTAACACAAACTTACCAAGCGCATTGTAATTTCAAAGATGCAGATGAAGTACCAGTGCAGGTTGTGTTCAGCACCCGTAAGTTCGTTCCCCGCCCACTTACCACTTGACTGAGATCCTAGCAGAGGAAGACTAAAGATAGAGGGTTTGTCTCTCAGACGTTGAGCACTTGCGGCACGGCATAGTGGAGATGGAGCTCGTGAGAGCTTAACTGCATCATTTCGAGAGCTATGGACTGCCTGTCAGCAGCACACTAAATCTCTCGTGTGCACTGACTGGAAAGTAGCAAGTCTTCCCTCCTTCGCAAACCAGGTGGTTTCAGCATTTTGCCTGCAAGAACTGACATGTTTAATACACACAGGGGAGGACAGCAGGGATTTTCCCGCGTTACCTAAAAAGTGGTGTCTGTGATTGTGGGTGAACCTTGCCTGTGTTTATTTTTGTATAACATATTGGGATGTGGAGTCAACTCAGATGTTTGCTGATTTTATAGGTCGTTTTTGGATGAACTAAAGGCATGTGTAACTTCTGATGATATTGAAGGCATTGTGTGCCTCACAGCTGTTCTGCATATTATTTTGGTTGTTAACAAAGGTTGGTTACATTTTCTCTCCTTCATGTGTTGCTTTACTGATTATGTCCTTGTTTGCTCCTAATGTTAGAGATACTTGGGAATTTGGCCCCTGTTTCACTTCCCTCTGACAGGACAGGCTTCCCCAGCCTTTTTACCCTTATTCCCTAGTGCTCTCTGAATACAGTGTGGTCCACTCGGCCTGTCTTTGCATGAGCTCACCTGTTCTGCTTCTGTCTTTCACTTGCACTGTTGGATACATGTAAATATCACTCTCTGTACTTCAGAATTGGATCCTTTCCTTCTTCCTTTTTCCTCTCTTTCCTTTTCTCCTTACCTCCTTTCCTTCTTTTCCCCTTTCCTTCCTCCTTGCCTTGCCCAGGCTAGATAAGTGCTCTATTACTGAGCTATGTTACCAGCTTCCCTTTTAATTTGAGACAGGGTTTGACTAACTTATCTAGGCTGGCTTTGAACTCTCTCTAACCCAGGCAGGCCTTGAACTTGGTGTTTTCCTGCCGTAGCCTTGCCAGTAGCTAGGATTATAGGTCTGGCCCCTTAGGCCCAGCTCAGAATTGAATTTCTATTTATTTGCCCTGTGTTAGTTATGATTAAAAATCTGGGTAAACCTGCCAGCACAAGTCTGCAAGCCCAGCTACTCAGAAAGCTGAGGCAGGAAGTTTGGAGCAACATTAGTGAAATCTAGTGGACATCTTGGCATCTTGAATACGTAACCATTGGAAGGGGTACCGGAAAAATAATTGGCAATACCTATAAGATGTGAGCCTCTAGGTCAAGTAAAGTGATATCCTTGTAGGCCGACTATATTCAAGTTTCCATATTGATGGTCAAGTTTTACTGATGTTAAAATGTTTTGCAATTCTAGTACTTTACAGGGAACAGTAGCTCCTATCCCATGATGTGGGAAACCTGCCACATCTATAAAGATTTACAGTGGTTGAGTACCTTTCACCCATATTTGTGACAAGAATTCTTTCAGATTTGAGAGTTCATAGGTTTTGTTTGTTTGTGTGTTTGTTTTGTTTTACTCTTTATGTAAAATATACTGGTTGAGAATCCCTGAATTGGAAAACTTCAAAATCTGAAACACATAGAAGTGGAACAAAAAGTTCTGAATTTTCAAATGTTGGTGATTACAGATTCTGGTGTTAGGGTGCTAAGTCTGTGATGCTTAAAAAAAAAAAATGTTAGGCCCAGTTTGACACCAAAAAGGCTCATCTCCAGGACTTGCGTAATTGAAATGAGCAGAGCACCTGTGTTCTGAGGAGCTAAGGATGTGCCCCATGAAGAGATGTAAGCGTGGATGTGGGGTGCTGAGTCCCTGTCAGGTGTTTAAGCAGCAGGTAAATCCAATTTGTGCTGGCTTTCACTCTTTTCTGGTGATTGCATTATCACTCATAGCAATGGGCTCTCACAGCACCTCTGTGGAAGGATAATTGTCCTGCAGCCAGACAGGTTTATTTGTGAACAAAACAAAAGTGAACCAAAAACAAGGGGCTGATGCATGTGCAGTGATGTTGTGATCTTTCCTCTGTCGTGCGATCTTACAGGTAAACATATAAGTGCAAAGGTAAAGGAGGCAGTAGCAACTGTGAACAGAAAGCTAAAGACGTTTATGGAGATCACTTTGGAAGAGGATAGCCTTGAGAGGTAAGTATGAGACTTACTCCAGCTGAGAACTGGGAATTGGGTATGTTTGGGATTGCTCTTCTGTTGGGTTCATTGGCGCCAGGTGATTAGAAGCCTGGAGTAGAAGGATGCAGTTGTGGTTTGAATGAGCTTATGTGTTTGAATCCTTGGTCCCCAGTTGATAGCACTGTTTGGGAAAAATTAGGATGTTTAGCTTTGTTGGAGGAAGTGTGTCTGTCAGCTTTCCAAGCTATTTCTAGTTAGCTTCCTCCCTGTCTGCGCTTGTGGATCATATGTAAACACTCAGCTTCTGCTCCAGTGCCATGCCTGCTACCTTGGTTCCTTCCATTATGGACTCTAACCCTCTGGAACTGTGAGCCCCCAAATGTTTTTCCTTTGTACTTGCCTTGGGCCTGGTGTTTTGTCATGGCAATAGAACAGTGACTAAGACAGATGTTTCTACTAATGCTTTTCAGAAACAAGAAAACCATCATTTTTGAAATGTTTGCTGTAGAAAAGAAAGACCATTTACTCCCTCATAATTTTCAAATGACATTGTTTTGGTGGTTTGCTTTATTTAAAAGCCACAGGTATTTCCCAGGTATAAATGCAGGTACATCTTGGAGTGTCAACTTTGGTGATATTATGGGGTGCTCACCAGTGGAGACAGTTCAGATACAGTTTATCGCCAGTTGAAAGTCTTTATTCCAGCTGGCTGGGACTACACTCAGTTATGTGGGACCCAAATGTAGGGCCAAGTGTTTAGAGTAAGGGGTTTTTAAAGGCAAAAGCCCCATCCTGGTAGCTCCCTCTGCAGTTTTAGGGGGAGTCCTGCACAAACAAGAAGTTTGACAGACACTAAGTAAGTTAGCTGGGGTGTGTTGACCTTGAGTTCCTAGAACACAGTTGGTTAATTTTCCTCCTGGCATCTCATCAAGGAGGTCCAATTCTACCTGAAATGGCCTTAGCAAGAATACAGGATGGAGGAACCTCTATACTGTCTTGCCATGTCACAGTGAGGTGCATTTTCTTTCTTCCTGGGAAACTTATAGTTGCTCAGACTGCTGTTGACAAGCACGTTCCTGGGCGGTCTCCTCCCCAGGACATCTTTGTTCCCTGTGCTGTCTTCATGTGAAGCAAAGCAGTCAACTGTTAACAGGCACTTCAGTAGGCAGTCCTAACGGGAAGCAAACATAGTGAGGTGGGACTTTGTTAGTGTAATTGGGAATGATCCATAAAAAAATGAGAAACAAAATTTGTTTGTTTTGCAGTTTATCATTTTTATCTTGGTGGTGCTTGGGATTGAACCTGGTGCTTTTGTATGATATGTAATACGTTAAGTCTCTGCCACTGAGTGAAGTCTCCAGCTCATTCTTAAAATGTTAAAACCTTTGTCTTATTTTTCCCAGTCATCGGAGTCTTAGACAATGACTAGTTTTAAGCAGCACGTAAGTGTATGGTAGTTGGAGCATGTATCACAAGCAAACACTTAAGAGTGCACAGGTGTGCCAGTAACACTGCATGTTCTGTCAGTCCATTGAAGCCATACAAGCTGCCTCTGTGTCTGTAACACTGTGACGGTGAGCTGTGTGCTCACAGGGTCACCCCTCAGCTGTGCAGCCTTGTTTGGTTGGCTCTGCCCTTTCCAATCCCTTCTCCTTCATTTATTTCCTCCTTTTCACGCTCTGGAGTCATTCCTACCTCAACAGAAAGAATCCCCTCCCACGGAGCCCTACCCGTGTGCAAGGCAGGATAGTCACGTGGAGGCAGGTAAAAAGCAGTGTAAAATGTGGAAAGCTATTTCAGAAGAGTTTCAGAAATGTGCCAAGCAGCTCTGGGTATGTGGGATAGCATTTCAGTGATGGGGAGTACAGTTTAGGAAGTCCTTACTGCTCCTTGCACCCGTTGCTTTTATAAATTACAAATAAATGATAACTGAGGAATTTTAAAATACAAAACCATTTCAAGAATAAATAGGATGGGGAAATAAAACATGAAAGTAAAAGACTGCATGCAGCTCAGAAGCAGAGAGAAGCTGTTGGGAGGAAGGAGAACAATAGGAGGAAAGCAGGGGAAGAGGTAAGGAGGGAACTGGAGGGAAAGATAACTGTGAAACTGCTGTGATGAAGCCCATCATTATGGGCTAATTATGCTAATTTTAAATGGTGTAGATCATGGCCCTTGATACTTCTGGGGTTTTGGTCAGGTTGTGGTATACTTAAAGTATGCTGAGATCATTGATAGTCAGACCCTTTATATAAATGCTATAGTAGAATTCGTGTGTAACTTATGCATACCTTCTTGTGTACTTTAAAAATCACCTTTAGATTACTCATAATGCAGGGTGGGTACAGAGGGCTTTGAGCAGTGTTGCAACTACTACTTCTCCTTGCTGCATTCTTTTTTCTTTTTTCTTTTTTTTTTTTTTTTTTTTTAATTTAAAGCCTGTGGAGGGCAAATTGTATTGTCCATCTACTCTTGGGAGTGGGGCCTGCTCTGAAGTGTGGTCAGCTTCCCTGGCATAGAAGGGTTGTGCCATTTAAGAAAATTGTCTTCTAGCACTGACCCAGTGCCACTGGCTCCTCAGCTAGTGTAGGGTTTCCTTGTCTCCTCATTGTCCCCTTCATTTTGGGGTTTCTGTCTGGTTTTGTCTGGTTTGTGCTTACACATGCTGTCACAATTACTGTTGAGTTTTATGGACAGCTGCTTTGTTGTGTCTGAAAAACACTATTTCCTTAAAGTTATATATAGCACTCATTTTAAAAATTCTACTTTATTTGGGGTGTTTAAGGCCCTAATCTCCCTTCCAACCTCCCACCCTTACATAGGAGAGAGAAGGTTAGTGGGGAAGGCTGGGACCCTTTACTTCTCCAGGATGTTTAGGGTCGATGGGTTCTTTCAGGGCTCTGTACCAGTCTCCATCAACCACAAACACTGCCAGCAGTCCAAGTCGCTGCGCCCTGAAGCATTTCTCTCCCTCTGTCTGCTCCAAACCACCACACCATTTGTCTCTCTGGTCTCTCCAAACTGCTACACGCCACAAGCTCTCTTTCTGGGCTCTCAATTTATATCCTCCAGAGCCATAGACCACGGCCCTCTCCATGCTGCATGGGGCATGCCATTACCAGCTGGCAAAAGCCATGCCCCAAGTGGGATAATTAACAGGGATTTTAGCCCAACTAAAATACCAAACTTGGAATTAAAACAAAAACATTTACATAACTGAGTTTACAAAGAAACCCAAACTTCCATTACAGTTATATAATCTATATTTTATATAATCTTTCTTCCCACTTTATTTAATCCTCCTTCACTGATGATCCCTGAGCTTGAGGGAGAGGGGCTGTAACATGTATTTTCCATTTAGGACTGAGCACTCCAAAGTTTCTGATTCTCAGCTTCTTGACTAGTTAGTTGCCATCACTGCGAGAAGCAGCTTCTCTGATGTGGCTTGAGAGATACACTGAATAAAGAAATCATTCGATGTTGTTCTAATGTTGTATCCTTTTAGCAGAATGGTTTTAGGTTTTTCCATAGCACCTGTAACCTGTCTAGTCACAGGTTCTTGGTTCCCTTAACAAAGCTAGGTTTGGCTTTCATTTTAGGAAGTAGGCTTTAGATCTAAGTGCAGATTAGCCGGTTATTCCCATAACATTCATGTCACTATTCCACCAGTGAGCAGACTTGTCAGGGCAGTTCTTACTGTAGCTTTCAGAGTTCCCAGCTGGATAAATCAATGTTACTTCCATCTTAGTAGCACGCATAGTGCCTTTTAGCACCATGGAAACTAGTCAGAAGGGATAGAGTTTCCAGTTAAGTACCAGTGTGTGGTCTCCATGGTGTATGATTCAAGTATGGGTTATTTTCATCAAGACAGTCTTAAGGCCAAGTTCTGGAGGCTAACCAAACCAATAGCCTGAATTTGGGAATTATGGGCCCCGCTGGCCACCAGCTCAGAAAGAGGTAGCCCATTCTTGGTCCTGAGATTTTTATTTGCTAGCCTCTGGTATTTAGTTAAGGTATTGATCCCCCCATCATAGTGTAACTCCCTTTATTATACGTACATGCATACATACATAGCTATGTTTAGAAAGTTCCATGGGCTGCTAAGAAGAAAGTGCATTATTTAGAGTTTAGGTAGAATATTCCATAAATGACCATTACTCTGTTTGATTTAAGACATCAGCTGAGTGTAGTGGTGAACTTTTACTCCTACTGGAACTCAGGATATAGGAACAGGTGAATTTCTAAGTCGAGACTAGGCTGGTCTCTGTATGACATCCAGGGCTACATAGAGAGACTATGTAGAGAGATTAAGAGAAAAAAATCCAGAGTTTTTCTGTTTAATTTTTGTCTAGATGAGCCTGTCTGTTGGTGAAGTGCTGGGTGTTGAAGCCATCCACTGTAGCTCGGTGTGGCTTTAGATGTGGTGCGTTTCTTTTTATAAAAGTTGATGCCTCTGTGCTTACTGCATACTTCCAGTTAAAACGTCCTCTTGGGGGAGGTGGATTGTTTCCTGTAACGCGTATGAAATACCCTTTCCTGTGTCTTCTGGTTCGTTTTGTTTTGAAGTTTATTTTGGCAAGTATTTGAATACTTCCTCTTGCTTGTCCCTTTGTTCTCTTTGCTTGGACTGCCTTTTTCTATCCTTTTAGTCCTAAAGTGTGAGGTGTTTCTCTTAGAGGTAACAGAGAGATGGACCTTGTTCTGTAGTCTGTTGTCTGTGTCCATGTCTTTGACCTTGTTGTGCCTCACAGAGCTAGACCTGTACAGTCCCAGGGGGTCCTCCATGTTCCAGTCCCAGAGTGTTTTTGTTTGATTCTTGTTTGGATTAAGCTTTTCTTCTTTTTCTTTTTTAAGTTTTTGAGACAAGGTTTCTCTATGTAACCCTGGCTGTCCTGGAACTCCCTCTACACAGGCCTCCACTGTGGCCTCAGACTCAAAATCTGCCTTCCTCTTGCTTCCCAAGTGCTGGGATTAAAAGTGATTAAGCATTTTTTAAATGAATGATTCCTTTCATC